GGCGATAGAGTGAGATTCCAACTCAGAAAAAGACTTACGGCAGAAATAGCAAATGTTTCCAATTCTCTGGGATTAGCGTCTTAGGTAAGCTGGCTTCAGAGTCCTGCCGTTGGCCGTGAGCTCTGCCAACCCATGAGGATTCGTGGGTGCTACCAAAAAGACCACTGTTAAAATCAAGGGCTCAAACCACAGGCTGTGCCTCGATTGATGAAGAATGAAGCATCCCTGGAACCAGATGCCTTCAGTCATGTCTCGTGTTCCTCAGGGCTGCGTTCTCGGCTCTCTGACCGGGGTCTTGCTCTGACTGGAAAGCTGTGGCGCCCTGTCCGGGTGTCCAGCCACCTCCTGGTTCTGTTGCTGTGGGCGGCTTGTGAAAGCCTTCTTTAGGGCTGCTTTGTCTGCTTCCCCTCTTGTATCCTGATGGACTTCCCACGAGTCAGTACACGTTTCCCTGTTGCGCGAATGTTTCGTTATTTTCGTTTTGCCAGGACAGTCATCAGAGGGACCAGGAGGAACCACACAGCCGTTGAAAATCTGAGCAATAAGGAGATCCTTTTATGTGTGAAACTGAGTCATCACTCAGAAGGGCTTTCACTTTTAAAGTGTCATCAGCCATTGCTCGCCATTTTTATAAAACAAAGTCGAAACGTTTTCCGAGTCCCAGGATGTTCACAGCCAGCCATACGTGCACTTCGTGGCAACTGTGGCCACGGCTGCTCCGGGCAGCCACGCGTCGCCTCTGGTGGCCGCCACTCCTCCTGCAGAGCACCCGCCAGAGCTGGCCTGTGGCCTGGGAAAGCTCTGCCCCTGATTCGCTTCAAAAAGTCCCTCTCTGCTAGCAGGGAGCCCGGAGAGACACTTCAGCTTCTAGTATTTCTGCTACCACGTTGTGCTGAAGATCCCATCCCACCATCCCCTTCGGTTGAAGTCTGTGCTGCGTCTCCCCCGCTGTTTCTACCTTGATCGCTGGCCTCCACAGGGTGTGCTGAAAGACATCTTTTGATTATGATCCACAACGAGACGCTCCGCGCTTTAATAAACCAGAGGCCGCCAGCACCCGTTGCTTTGGGGGGCTAAGATGGAACGCTTTTCGAATGCTTCCCATTAAATAATAATTCTGCCGAACGGTTCTTGAAGTTCTCACTGGCAAGTGCTGTAAGTCAGCATTGAGGAAAACTGGGACGCATGTTAGAGGTGATGCGTCCTCCCTCACGCGGGGACGTGGGTGTGTGTGTGGCCCAGGCTGCTATACAGCCCCGTTTGTCCCAGGACAGCTGTAGATAGCACTGGTTACCCCCGAGTCACCATTATGGGTGCAGGTCTTTGCGAACAGCATCACTCCAAATGGCTGCTAGTCGCTACCCCAAGTGGATGCATTTGCCAGCGACGCTAAATACAAAACATCCTGGGTTGGCCGATGAAGAAAGCCATGTGTTTCCATTTCCTTCACGTTTTAGAAACAATTTGGCCGGGCTCGGGCACGTTTTAAAAACAATTTAGCCTGTAATCCCAGCGCTTTGGGAGGCTGAGGTGAGTGGATTGCCTGAGCCTGCAGGTTCGAGACATGCCCGGGCAACTTGGCGAGACCTCATCTCGACAATAAATCAAAAACTAGCCGGGCGTGGTAGCGCGCGCCTGTAGTTCCAGCTACTTGGAAGGCTGAGGTGGGAGGATCACCGGAGCCCAGCAGGCCGAGGCTGCGGTGGCCGGGACGGGCCACTGCACTCCAGTCTGGGAGACAGAGTGAGACTCACACTCAAAAAAAAACAATTGGCAGAACTGCTGAGAGACCTTTGAAAACATTGAGGAGAATTAATTTCATCCTCTAGGTGATGATTTCTTCTGAAAGAGGAGTCTGGGATGTCCATCTGTAGTCCTTCGTTTTCCATGAACTCACGCATTCATTCATTCACTCTTTGGTATGTGCCTGGGGGTGCTGAGAGTAACAAAGACAATTGCCACTTGCCAGGAGCTCACAGGCCACACAACACCGTGACACAGCTAACTGCAGCCAGATCTGTAGCAAAAGAAAAGTGTTAAGTAAAACATCTGAAGCCTAAACTTATCAGATGAGCTGCTACCTTCTTTGGGGAAGCTATGGAAGCGTCTACACGTGGGCCTCGGGTTGGGCTCCACCGCCCTCCGCCGACTCCTGTCCCAAGGACAACCTGGGCTTGGGGATGGGGAGACAGTGTGTGGGAACCCGCCAGGACTGCAGTTCCCTGTCTTCAAAGAATTATCTAGAAGCTAGTCAACAGCCGATTCACATGCTAATTGGGTCGACACAGAAGCCGAAGACAGGGTGGGGAATGGGAGTAAGCTGGCCAGAACTTTCTAGAGTGATGAGGCTGTTTAAGGACCCAAGGCTGCCGTGGTCCCCAAGTCTGCCTGCACACTGGAGTCTTCGGGGGAACTCAACAAATGGGCCCGCTTTGGCCCCCAGAGTGGGCGCTTTCATTGTTCTCGCAGGAGGCGTGGGCTTTGGGCGTTAAGACTCCAATGTGAGTGGCATCTAGGCCGTGGCATGAGCCCGGCGGGGGCCAGTCTTGAAACTCCTGTCGACCTCGTTCCGAGGCGGCAGGTGGTCAGCGCGCAGGTCATCGATGGAATTAGTCCTCAGCACCGGGCGCTTTCGAATTAAAATCTAGATATTTGGCTTCTGGGAAAAACTAGATCTGACCCCTGGACCCACAGAGCGGCAGCCAG